GCCGAGCCACACAGCAGGTTCTTAATAAATGTTTCCTGAGTGGATGGATGGAAGAATGAATGAATGGCCATGTGAGTGAAGGAATGAAGTGCTGCCCCTTAGAGGCTGTGTGTGGGTGCATCAGTCAGACCCCCATGGCACTGGCACCCCGACATGGGCAGCTACAGCTCTGTGTGCTCCTCCTTAGCCTCCATGAGCTCCTGCATCTTCTGGGGCAGGGTCTTTGTCCAGAACTGGAGCCTGTGGGCCTTCAGGGCCCGGCCCACTGTGGGCTGTGTGTCCAGCTGCAGGTATTGCTCCTCCTCGTCGAACACGGGCCAGTGGGGCAGACCATCGCCATTGGGGTTCCTGCAAACATGTGCTCCCGCCACCCCCGGGAGAATGTAGGTCACTCCGAGGCCTGCACAGCCCAGACCTAGCTCCCTGAGTGTATCAGACAAGGCAGCTGAGCAGGCCAGGTGGGCTTGGGGAATGAGGGGGAAGGTTTCTAGATACAGGAAAGAAACCACCCCTACTAGTGTCAGCCCCATGTGGGGGCAGGGCCCCTGTCTGGTTTGACCCTGCCTCTCACATGGGTACCCCAGCACTGGTCTCCACCCTCCGGGCAGCATCAGGGGCTGGAGGAGTGGGTCTGAGTGCGTCCTCGAGCTGGGGAAGGGGCTATCAGGTAAGGAAGGACATTTTGCTATTGAACTTGCCACAGGCAAGGGGAGCCCTGGCTGGGTGTTAGCACGGAGCCCTGGCTGGGTGTTGGCACGGGGAGTGGAGGTGGGGCACCAGCTCACCCATTTCGAGCAAAGTTGGCCCAGTACTTCATCATCTTCCTGCTGAGCTGCTCTTCCTCCTCGGTGATTTCAACTGCAGAGAGGAAGAGGACACATGTCCAGGTCCGGGCCAACCCCAGTCCAGCTGCCGCTTCATGCACCACGCTCACCATCCCAGGTGCAGCTCTTCCTGCCTCCTCAGTCGCCCACAGGCCTGCTTCTCTGCCCCCTGTCCCTCCACTCTGGGATGCCAGGACCTGGCCTTTTCCAAACACTTTTCCCTCAGCCCAGCCTTTAGCTGACTGGACACTGTGCTCATTGCAGGCTCAGAAGTCAGGTTCTTTCTTCTGACACTGGGAGTCATTAAGTAACAAATATGCCTTTGAAACATGCCCTCCTGGACCCCATGCTTGGGTGGAGAGAGGTGAATGGAGCACAGGCCAGTCTAAAAACCCTTGGGTTCTAATACTGGCTCAGCATTTTGAGCTTTAATGTCTTGGACCCTGATCCCATCTTCTCTCTGTGGCTCAGTTTCCTCAACTGTACAGTGAGAACCAATTCCGCTCAGGGACCCAGCCCAGGTTCCAACTCATGCCCTAGGGAAGGAAAAAGACTCACTGTAGTTGCCCCTCATATTGGGTCTGAAAATAAAGAAAATCTCATCCCCATGGTCTGCCTTCACATGAGGTGGCTTGATGTCCTTGAAGAAGCTGGGCTTATGCTGGAACTCATAGAAGTAGACAGGGGCGTGGGAACCTGCGGGGGTAGACAGACTGTGACATGGCAGCCCCTCACTTAGGGCTTTTCTATATCACTCATGGTGACAAGACATCAAGGTCCAAATCTGTCTAGAATCTGGACAATGTGGTGGAGAGCCGCAGGCTGGAACAGGGGCAGGGGGAAGGGCCTGGTTAAATCATGGGTTGGTACCTGTAGCTCAGCACCTAGCGCTTCAGTCACATGTACCAGAGCTGGCAGGTTAGAATCCAGCCCGGGCCTACCAAACAACAATGACAACTGCAACAAAAAATTAGCCAGGCGTGGTGGTGGGCACCTGTAGTCCCAGCTTCTTGGGAGGATGAGGCAAGAGAGTCGTTTTAGCCTGAGAGTTTGAGGTTGCTGTGAGCTGTGACACTACAGCACTCTACCAAGGTTGACACAGTGAGATTCTGTCTCAAAAAATTAATAAATAAGTAAATAAATAAATGAAATAAATAAGTAAAAATAAATCATGGCCATGGATTTCCCAGCTGTGTGGGTTTTGGCAACTCATTGAATGAAGGTCACTAACTTCAGTTTTCTCAGCTGTACAGAGGCAGGGAATGTCTGTCTATTAGACTAGCCATGAGGATTTACCCAAAATCCCAGCACTCAGGGGTCCAAAAATGATGTGGGTGGGGATGTGGACACTGACAGACCTCACCTGGGACTCCCAGCTCTGAGCTGCTGCCTTGCCAGTCGGGGGTCAGGTACAAAGATACTCACTCTGAGAGTGTGCTACTCGGAGTGCAGGGATCACGAACATGGAGTCTGCCATCATCTCCTGGTACTGGCCTTGGAGGGTCTGGGGATCCCCACTGTCCCCCATGTACTCCTCCAACAACAGGTCACCAATCTCAGGAGGCAACATCTACCCCAAGTGGATCAGGAAGAGGCAGGTTAGGCCACTGCCAGGGGCAGGGAGGCAGCAGCCTCAGGGTTGGGGAGATGAGCCATGGGATGGGACAGGGAATGGGGGAGAAGGGCCAAGCTCTGAGGTGATCCCCAAAGATGCACATACCCTGGCTTTTCCTCACAGTAGGACATCTTGGTTTTCCCACCTTAGGGAGGAGAGAAGTCCCTCCCTCTCCATCAGGGCAGGACCTCAGGAGCCTCACCAACACTTGGGACGTTTTCTGCAGAATATCTTTCCAGGCCTCTCTGTCTGTTCCCTTCCTTGGCTCATCCATGCCCATGACCTGTGTGGTGAGGAGAGAGCCACAAGTTGGGGAGGGATTGGCCTGGAGCTTTTCAGCCCCAAGACCACCACTCACTTGTGACCGGATGGACTCCTCTGGGCACACGAGGGCTCAGGGTTGGGTCTCACCTTGGGGATGACCCAGCCATACTCATCATTGTTGACTCCAATGATGCTGGGGACAGGCTGGAAGTCAGCTGAGGCCAGCAGCTCCTCAGGATGCTTGGGCAAGAAGGACCCATCTACCACACCAGGGATGATCTTGAAGGCCTGAGAGGCATTCAAAGTTAGGGAGCAAGGTTAGCTAGCAGACATTTGCTGCTGTCCTATGAGAGTGTCCACCCCTTCCTAGCTCATCCCAGGATGTTTCCATCCACCCTGGGAGACTCTGCCCCAGGCTTAGCACACCCTGGCCTCCACTTCATCCAGGGCCATGAGAACACTAAGGCATGCAGATGGGGTAACTTGCTCAGAACATACAAAGGACATCCAGCCTGCCTGCTCCACACCCCACCTGCCCTCTCATCCACTCCCATATCCCTTTAGCCACACCTTGTTAATAGCCAGAATCTCTTCTTCACTCTTGCCCCGCAGGCAGCCCACCAGGGCCTCTGAATCAACCTGGTCACAGGCAGACAGGTTGGCCACCATCTGTAAAGGGACCGGAGAGGGGCTGGCTTATCATTCCTGGTAAGGGAGAGGACCAAGGCCCTGGCTGGGGGCAGGGACACCCCATATGCAGGATATTATATGTGGTTTCCTGCCATTTGGGGACTGTTTCAACCTCCTCCACAATTCTGCACACGATGGGGACCCACAGGGTGGTAGCTCTGCAGTCTACAGAATGTACCCAGCCTCTGCAATGGCAGAGATCTGTGGGTTCTGACCCTCAAGCACCTCAGCCATCAGGAGTAGGCAACAGTTCCCAGAGCACCCCAATGGTCCTTGCTGTCCACATTTGACAGACAGAGGCTCTGAGATGAAGTGACAAGACAGCACATCTGGGCTTCCAGGGCTGAGGGCACTCACCATGGAGACTTTGTCAGATGAGCTGACCATGAGACTAGGCAGCAAGGCCACACCACTCTCCATGATGGCACCATGGAAGAGTCCTTGGGACATGGGGGAGACAACATGCAAGGACACACTTGTGCCACCTGCAGACTCCCCAAAAATGGTGACACGGTCTGGGTTGCCTCCAAAGTGGGCGATATTCTGCTGGACCCAGCGTAGAGCAGCTACCTGATCCAGGAAGCCCCAGTTGCCAGTTGCGTGCTTGTCTCCAGTGCTGAGCAGTGTCAGAGACAGGGATTACAGGCTGTCCTTTATCCATTCAGCCCATGTTGCCCAGTCCAACCCCAATCTCACCTGAAGAAGCCCAGGACACCCAGGCGGTACTGGATAGTGACCACCACCACGTCCTCAAAGGCTGCCAGCATGGAACCATCATACATGGAAGCCATGCCCATGACAAGCGCACCACCATGGATCCATACCATCACCTGGGGAAATCAAGGCACATACTGTGTGGCTCCTTCCCAACCCAAACCCCACCAGGGCTCCTACCTTGACCAACCACTGCTTTGTCCACCTGTCCACACAGAAAGCTGTCTTTCAGATCATCCTATATGAACATTAACCAAAAACGTCCTCCATTCTCATAAGCCCAAGACTCCATGACTGAGTCTTTTGTGGCCTTATAGGGCAGCCCTGAGGCACTTAAGTGGGTCCCTGGGATATAGGTTCAATGAATGAGCCCTGCCTCCATCCAGGGACACAGCTTTGATCTCTGGTAGCAGTCAGAGCTTTATGACCCCATGGGTCAGCTGCCCACTCTGGGTAAAAAGCACTTCTTGAATCTGTTAGTGCAGTTGTTCTCAACCATCCTAATGTCACAGCCCATTAATACAGTTGAGAACTGTTGTGTTAGTGAGAGAGGCTTCTCAACAGGGTCCACACTGCAGTGGGTCCTAAGCTAATACTGCCTTTTCTAGTCTTCCTAGTCTAGAAGAAATGTCCTCCCATCCCCTAGCTAACTGTGACCTGACACTCACGGGCAGGTTAGAGCCCTCATGGGTATGGGCAGGTGTGTAGATGCTGAGGTACAGACAGTCCTCGGACATGGGGATGGAAGGCATGGTCACGTTGAACATGGTCAGAGCCTCTTCATTCATTGAAGTGAGATCCTGAGGACACCTGGTGGCCATGGCAGAAAGTCAGTTCAGGGCTTGTGCTATGGTGAAAAGCTGATTCTGGGGCCAGATTTGCTCCCATTTGCCATTAACTCCCTTCCCCCCAATATCCTGCTCACACATGATCCTCCTCTAAAGTCCCTTCCCATCAAGTTTCAGGACTAAGGCTTGGGGAAGCTGGGATGGAGCTTAGACTTCCAGGGAACCCTCAAGTTTATTTCTTAACTTTTACATTTGTTTTGTAGAGATGGGGGATGGGGTCTTTGCTATGTTGCCCAGACTAGTCTCAAAGTCCTGGACTCAAGGAATCCTCCCACCTCAGCCCCTAAAGTAGCTGGGACTACAGGCATAGTCCACTGTGCCAAGTTCTCAGGGTTGTTGAGGGCCTTGTATATCAGTCCCCCGGGGCCAGGAACTTGGCCCTGAGGGGTCCCTATGAGAACACTGGCTGTATGCCTCTATGTGTTGACATTCACCACCGAATCCCTGTACCCACTCAGGCCTGCAACAGGGGAGTAGCCCATAGACAGGTGCCTCAAGAATGAATGAATGTTAATTTCTCATGAGAAGAGCAGGGGGACATCCTGCACCCCAATTCTAGACTTTCAGGGAACCTCACCATTCCCTCAGCATTCAGTTGTAAGAGCACACCTATGTCCCATGGCCAATGGCACCTGGCCCTGTCAGTGACACAGGGACTGTGGAGAGTGGAGATCCCCAGGGAGCCACTATTGCTGCTCTCCACAGGGGTCTACAGTATCTGCTTGCTAGAGTCAGGGGCTCCTACAAGGGTCATAACCTCTCCCAGAGATGCCACCCCCTGGTGGCATAGAACAGTTGGCATAACTAGAGTCTGCGGGGATGTGTGTCTGCTCCTCCCTTCAGCACCTGGAGCTAATGCCCCCTGAGTGCCAAGCCCTCAGCCAGGAGGCTGGGAAAGTTGCTCCTCCCTATTGAGCCTTGGGGTGCTCATTGAAGTAATGCACGTGGGAATCCACTAAACTCACAGGGAAACTGGCTGTAGAGTTTTGGTGAAACCACAATTGTAGCCTGGCTGAGGTCATGGTACCCCAACCCCTATCCCAGGGCCTGGACCACCCTGGACCCTGGGAGGACTTACATGGCCGGGTGCGAGGTCCCATCTCTCACACCACTCCAAGATTCAGGAAGTTCAGGAGGTGCAAACCGCAGCGGCCCTACAGGTGGCTTGGCAAAGGGGATTCCCAGGAAGGTGTGGACCCCCACATCAGTGCCCTTCACGTGGGTGAGGCTCCCCCGCACCTGCCCCGTGTGTGTGGTTCGGATGGGGCTGGCAGGGTCCTGACCTGTGGGCAGAGACACAGACACAAAGATTAGGTGTCCCTGATCAGCAGCCCTCCCAGATGCTGGTATTGCCACCTCCTTGCTATTCTCAGCTCCATTCAAGGGACCCTGATCCACAAGCTGTGACACTGTGTCCTGACCCCCACCTTCCAGGCATGTCCCCAGCCTATCCCACCATGCTCACAGAGGCTCTTTGGGGCTGGCCACCACCATTCAGCCCTCGGAGCTTCAAACAATGGTCACATGCCCTTTGTGGGGTGAGAGTGTCCTTTCAACCAACCATGTGCCGGGTCACATGAGGCAGTGCTCCTATTGTGGGAATCTGACAGGCAGGTCCTCAGGGACCTCATGGTCCGGGTGGCGAGAAATGACATGAAGAAAGCATCCTCCGAACCAGAAATGATCTTTGTGAGAAGAGCTATGAATGAGGAGCCGCTGTGACTGGGACCCACAAAGCCCAGGCTGCCTGCTATGAAGATCAGGGAGGGAGGGACAGATTGAGTTATCTACCGGATAAAGGTGGCATTTGGGGGAGTGTGATGGCTCACTCATACCTCCCTAAGCCTTGAACTCCCAGGTTCAAGTCATCTTTCTGTCTTACCCTCCTGAGGAGCCATGACCACAGGCCACACCACCACGCCTCATTAATTTTTTTTTTTTATGGAGATGGGATCTTGCCATATTGTCCAGGCTGGTCTTGAACTCTTTTGGCCTCAAGTGTACCAAAGTGCTGGGATGATAGGCGTGAGTCACTATGCCTGGCCTCAACATTCTTAACAAGTAGTTTCTACAAACAAATAAGACAAATGCCAGCTGCACAGTATAAAAAGAGCAGTGCAGAAGGACATTCATAGGAAGCAAGGCAAATAAATGGTTGTTCAACAAATGGAGAGATGTTCGTCTCACTCGAGGTAAGAGAAATGCACTTGAAATCTCATTATGATGTCAACCACTTACTTTGTCAAACAAAAAAGCAAGACAATCAGATACCACACATTTTGTAATGGAAGTACACGGCACATCATATAAAGTAGTCTTGTCAGAAAAACAAAATGCAAAACCTAACACCTGAATCTGATTAGGCCTGTAGAATATAAGTACAAGCTTACAGGGTATACAGGGCTAGAGGAAGAGTTAAAGGACGCCACTACTGGCTTGGCGCCTGTGGCTCAAGTGGCTAAGGCACCATCCACATACACCTAAGGTGGTGGGTTCGAATCCAACCCGGGCCCACCAAACAACAATGACAGCTACAACCAAAAAATAGTCAGGCGTTGTGGCGGGCGCCTGTAGTCCCAGCTACTTGGGAGGCGGAGGCAGGAGACTCACTTGAGCCCAGGAGTTGGAGGTTGCTGTGAGCTGT